GGTACGGGATATGCAGAGGAGAGGAAGGAGGGTTGTATAGTTACCGAACTGGGGTGACAGGCTGGACGTGTTCCTCGAGTGGTTTTGGTGGATTGGAAGTTTGAGGTGGCTATTCGGAAGAGCGTGTCCATGAAGTGTGGGTTTGCGGTAGGAGTTGTGTACGGGCTAGAATGAGAGAGCGTGTCCATGAAGTGTGGGTTTGCGGTAGGAGTTGTGTACGGGCTAGAATGAGAATGAGTATGAGTATGGGTGGGGATTTGGGGGATATCGTGGGTCGGGTATTGCGAAAATTGTAAAGGAATGTAGTTTGGTCCTTGCCCAGGGCTGTACTTTGGCCAATGAGACAGTTGGTAGGGAACGTCGCTTAGGCTTCTGGTCGTTTGGTGTCCATGGGGCTCATGAGAGCTGGGGTATCCGGTGAGTGCCAGAGGTTGTGTATGTCCTGGAAGGATATGGCTTGGAACTTGATATTGAGGTTGATACGGGGCTGTGGAGGGATGAGAATAAGAGGGGGAAGAGACATGGGAAATATGATGGTTCGAGCTCTGTGAAAACTCTGAAGGTCGGGCTTGGAAAGATGATGAGTGAGAGGTTGTCGAAGCCTGGGAGGGGATACGGCTAGGACCTTGCGCGTGATATTGGTGGTGAGATACTTGGTGACCGACATCGCCTAGGCTTCTGCCTCTTCGACGTGGATGGGGCCCGGAGTTGGGATGATATCTGGAGCAACATTGTTGTTTAAGTGGCCCTGTCGCTGGAATGGCCTGACCTGAGGTGGGATTCGTGGCTCTAGGGTCGGTGGGTGTGGTATTGCTCGTGCTCGCAACGTTGAGGTTGTCCTGACTAGAAGTGAAAGTTGCGTTGACGCACTCTCCTAACTGGCGATCCCGAACGATCCCCGTTTCGTGGATATCGTTAGGTGTCGGGTATGAGCGTGCCGTCATGTCGGGATTGACTATCGATGGTTGATTTTCAGGGACATGCTGTATAGGGACTTTGAATCATTAGTCTGGCAAATAGTGCGTTTTCAGCTGAAGATCATCGGGTTACCGTTACTTCCATGGTTTTGGCGGCCTTGTTTATTGGGCGGTCGATCCATGTTGCCTTCAGTGAGGCACTTCGATATCCCATTCAGGTCAACGAACTATTAGTAATGATATCGTGGTCCGACCGAGCAGTTTCCTCTGAGCCAGAGGTGTAAGTTCTAATGTATGGCCGGTCATCTTATAGTAGTGACAATGAGCAATGTCCCGTCGCTTTACTGTTCGAATTGAACACAAAGAAGCAGTTTCTGCCAACAGGCAGGAAAGCTCTTGGATGTTTCTGCTGTCCCATAACGTAGACACTGGCCTTTTCGTTTGAGCAATCCGTCCAGGCGATCTGATGTAGTGTATGGTGTTTGTCGTTTCGATATGGACAAAACATTGCGAAAAATCAACTCAAAGCACTGCCCGTTTTGTGTCAACCGTCCTGAATATTTCGGACTCCGGAGTTGCGCGGTATGCGGCATATGTATTGGGGGGAATGCAAGCTTTCTAGTGCTCTGCGGAATCACCAGCGTCTTGTCCATCTAAACGCTGTTTGTAAGAGAGGCCGTCGTGGTGCTCGCGTGCCGATGTCCAAACCCCAGACTGGTTCGTGCACCCGTGAGCCTTTCGAAACGGTCCGCGGAGCATTTAGACGTGGCACATGTGGGTGCACAGACAGCCGTCTAGCCGTGAACCCTTGTTCGTCGACACGCAGCAAATGATCGACACCAATGCCGCATCACACTGTTGCAGCAAGCAATGTCCAGCATCGATGTTTCAGTCGGGTATCGAGTGAGACGGGAAGCTTGTGTTCCCTGTGAAGCTGACATCGGCTCATAGAGGCAAAACATGGCTGTAACCGAGAAGACAGCTTGCCCTAGGTTAAGACACCAAGAAACGTTCTGCGGTCGTGAACGAATCAAATAGACCAGACCTGCTCTTGTGGTGGTCGAATTCGATATGGCTCAAAGCAGTCCAGTCATCCAACGCAACCACACATCTGCCACCCGACGTCATCTCCGGGTTTTTTTCCTTCTTTCTTTTCCCTCAAAGGATTCGAAGAATTACACGTGACACACTCCCATCACTTCCGTCCTTCACAATTGGGTTTCTTCCGGGGACCTCAAATGACCGGACCCCCTTTTCATGCGCCATGTTCGTTGCTTTTTCCAGTACATATCAGATCTGTTGCCTTGGACGCCCTGACGTCGAGGCGCGATGGAGCACGGGAGTACTTGCGGTGAGAAAGCACGGAGCTCTGAATGGTCGACCGAGACGGACATCGAGATAAGTCCGGCATCCAAATCTCCGATGAGGCGATGTAAATCTGACACAACAGCATCCTGATTGCAGCGTGGAAGCCACGGGGAGACTGCGGGAGCTGCCTTGCGATGAAAAGAAGCAAAACCTGTTTCAATAATCCGGGATATTTCGATCACGCTTGCTCGGAGCGCGAGGGTTCCAAGTGTGATTGAGGCCTCGCGGGCCCATTATACTAACGGAAGATGAGGCGTTATCTTGAATCCTTCGGATGGAGTACTGTGACCGTGTCGTGTGCCTGGCCATAGGCGGTGGTCGATGTTGTTGGTTGAAGGTGTCGCCGGGCCTTGAAGGCTGCATGTATCTATCGCCCTGAAAGCTGAAGGATGTAACGGGTGTCTGAGATTGACCCTGGTCCGCCTGGTGATGGTTCACACAGTCAAGCCCAAACCTCAAGGCGTTGGTGGATGCGACGGCGGGCGGGATGATGCTGGCGCCTTCCGCTGCTGTAGTGTATCCGTACAGTGGTGGCCCGATGACGGGGACGATACGTCGGGAATAGTGGCGGATGCCCTGTGGCCGGGCCGACACTGTAGTGTATGGTATATTTAACGGGCCGACAGCGACGGGAGGTGGGAAACGGGCAAAAGAGGGTTGCAAGGTAATGAATTACAATGACCTCCCGTCAGCATCCACCGGAAAGGATTCCGGTGTTTTGCAGCTTCCTGCGGTAATAGGCTCACAGTCGCTGCCCTCTGTCTTGGGGTTCGGTTGGTGTCGCATTTGGTGTCGCATTTGGTGTCGCATCTATCGTCGCTTCTCACGGTTTGACTGCTGCAGTTGGAGATGGGATAGGAAGGCGCAGACGACGATGCAGGGACGAAACGAGACGGAGGAGTGAGTGCGGTGCGGTAGATTCTGGTCCCCCGCCGTCGCAATACCTGAACCCCACTTTGGACAAGGGATAGCACGTCAGTGGAGACCAGTGGGCGGGGCATTGAGATGAATGATGAATGGAGCACTGGACCTCTGCTGGCTGGTCATTGCTGGATACCGGTAGGTCTCTCCTTCATCGCAATCCAATCCCTTAGCGCTTCTCCATTTCATTGAATCCTTCGCGGCGAACTTTTCACCACACTTCTTCAGCAGTTCTTCAACAAACACTGTGTATACCTTGGCTGGCAACCTTAGCAACCTAATCCATCCTCCATCGCATACACCAGCCTCACCGTCGGCGTCACCGTCGCAATTCGCGGCTTTTTCTTTTACGTATTGCATCTGCCAGTTGTCGGACAATACCTCTCTGTTGGATTCCTCTTCGCCCTCGCGACAGTCGCTGCCGACGCACATCAGAGTTTTCATGCTGCACAACAGGAGCGGCCAAGACAAGCCACAAAGCAACGTTGTCAACGTCGGCGGATGAAAGCTACACTGCTACACCAACCTGATTACATACACTACATCCATCTCGTGTGTGAGCTACCACGCTACCTGACTAGGCCTACATACCTGGCACTTTCTGGCCTATTACCTCACTGTCACGACCATTTCCACTCCGCCGGGCCAGTAGCGTGACTTGGGTGTTGCCGAGAAGCGATGGTAATTGGTGACACTCAACACAGGCACCTATTCAAAATGCCATCCTTCTAGAACTGTGTCTACCGTCTACCATAGGTAAGCCATTTGTCCTAATTTTCATCAAGCAAATTCCCTTTCGTCCGTTCTGCATCTTTTTCTTTCGTCTTTCTTCCTTTGAGACATGTCACATATCACACGCCCACGCGATCCTCATTCCCGCCTGGTGGCTAGTCAAGCATACCTACCCGTCATCTGGTCGATCGATGTCGATTACCAGAAGCATGTTGAGTAACTACACTAGAGGGATTGGCCATGCCTCCGACAAGCAATATGGACGCTTAACTACCAAGTGGAAGGGTCGGGGAGCCGGGCGGATGACATGGCTCGCATATGGCCTGCCCGCCAAGTACGCTGGCCTGGGCTACTAGAGAGCTGCTAGGAGCTGCTAGGAGCTGCTAAGAGTCGCTAGACCTCTTCAAAGATGGAGAACGGCTGCTGAATTGCAACGACAAGAAGGGTCCAAAACGTCCTCTGGATCCTTCGATAGGCTCTCGTTCATCTCGCTGCCTCCTGTCTAGCCCAAACAAGTAGCATCTCGGCCTATCATGGAAACCAGATGGGACCTCTGTCACTTTGTACCCCCCCGTTCCGCCTCCTGAAGCTCCAATAAAGCCCCCTTTAGATCCACCAACCCGGCCGTCCTAAACGACCCGAGAACCCAGTCCTGGACTTCTCGCCAGTCTCCTCCTTCCCAAGATTTCCCTGGTCTCGATTTTCCCTTCTCAGGGACCTGACCTGGATCCCAAAAGACTCGAGCCAGTCCCAAGCCCGACCTCAACTGGACCCAACCTGGTCAGAAAAGGGTAAAGACCCAACTCCCGCCCGGCCAAACTCCACACCCCGCACTTTGCCAGCAGCTGCCCGTCCAGCTTACCCTACCAAAACAAAAGAACCGACGAATCTGGCTCTCGGCGGCCACCGCCAGAATCGTCCAGGCAACCGGCTGCGTGTGGACAGATTTGGACCTCAACTACCCGACGACATCAACACCAAAGTGGGCATGACTACAGCTCAGCCAGATGACCCGAAGGCAACAACGAGTGCCACCATCAACCTGAAGAAACAACCGCCAACATGAGTGAGGTCGCGGCTGTCCATCGCTGCCCCGTCTGCTTCAAGACGTACAAGCGTCGGGAGCATTTGCAAAGACACCGCGCTTCACACACCTCGGAACGCCCACACCGCTGCATTCTTTGCAGCGCCTCCTTTCAACGGACCGACGTCTTGAAGCGTCATATTCAAACATGCGACGGCTTGCCCCACGGCTCGTCTGGTCGCCGAAGGGCGTGTGATAGATGCGTCCGCCAGAAAAAGGCTTGCAACTCGGCCCAGCCCTGCCAAAATTGCGCAAAACGCGCAGTCCAGTGCTTGTACTCGAGCGTTGGTTCATCGACGGGCCAAGACGGAGACACGGGTAGTACCAGCGGTGCCAACTCGGTCGAGAATTTTTCCAATGTGCCGAACACTCAGCAGCAGCAGCAGCAACAAC